GAGTGTGAGTGTGAGTGTGTGTGTGTGTGTGTGTGTGTGTGAGTGTGAGTGTGTGTGTGTGTGTGTGTGTGTGTGTGTGTGTGTGTGTGTGTGTGTGTGTTTGGAAATGAAACGAGGAGAGAAAGCGCCACAGCAGGAATAAATAATCATTTGTCCAGGTTAGGATTCCAGCGGTGTGTCTTACGTCTGTTAGTTGCACTAGTGCTATCATTCGCCGCCATTAATATCCAATTTCATATGAAGCAAGAAACCTTGTTTAGCAGGAATAAAATATGGTCAGATAACAGCAGGACATCATCCTGCTCACATAATTACCCAAACGCGGCGCGGGGAGGGATCAGATCCGCGGCTGGGCAGGGGGCATCGGCGATAAGCGCCCGGCGCGCTCCCACACACTGGTAATTACTTTATTGATAATTTGCAGGGAAAATTGCCTGAGCCAATCGTTGCTGCTAGATTTAATGGATTGGAGAAAAAAAGTTAAAAAAAAGCACCTTTCAAAAGGATTTTAAATATTTTTAGGCCGTAGGGGGAAGGCTTTTCCTCTGGCGATAATAGCTGAAAGTCATGTAAAATAGCCCACTCTTGGCATGATGCTGCTGGATGCATGTGTGCTTGTGGCAGGGGATGTTTATCTGGCCACCCTGCATTAACACATTTACCCCCTCGCCTTAAATGAGGTCATAATTCTCTAAGGGTAAGGCCTTGGTAATGAAATTGACATTTAGCAGCCGCACCACAGTCTATTAACTACAATAAATTTAATTTGCAACAGGCCCAGAAGTGAGCTGGGCTGCGGAAAGAGAGAAAGAGATGAAAAAGCGGCGAACCGACGGTGCTGGTGTTTATTACATGCGCCTGGCCACAAGTACATTTGCTAAAATAAGACCGCTCTTGTGTTCTCTCGTGTAACTATAACTGCGTTTGCTCTGCCTGCTAAACGATCAGATAAAACAACGTAAAAAATGGAAGTGCAGTGGTTTTTCCAGACTCTGGTTTTTCAAATAGTGATCTGCTTCTAGACCCTGTCTGTAATCTCAGGAATGTTGTTAAAGCTGAAACAAGGTTACCTAAACATCCATCATAAAGAGATTTTTGACGGCTTGAGAATTGTTAAAGCAATAGTTCGCCCAAAAAGGAAAATAATTTACTCAACCTAATGTATGCACAACCCTGTAAGGGTTACTTTCTTCTGAAGATAAATAAATAATAATAATAATTAAAAAAAACTTTTTCAATACAGTGAAAGTCAGTGATCATCAAAATGCTTTGATTACTCACATTCTTCAAAATATCTTCTTTTGTGTTTCTTGAGGAGGAGAAAATGATGCCGGTTTCTCTTTCAATATCCCTAAGCAGTACACATTAGTGCTGGATTGTGACGACATTTTAGCACAACAGTTACGAATCTTCCCTGAATTGACTTTACAGTGCATAAGCCAAGATATTGTACTGGAATAAACAAATGCGGACTCTGAAGTGAAAACTATGAAGATTCAAAATATGAATTATTACATGTTTAAAACTATTTTATTCTAAACAAAGAGTTAAATTAACAAACTATTTTGAAATTGGTGTAAACAATTAAAAGTTACAACTAGGGCTGGAAAAAGGGGGCAAATTTCCAGTAAATTCCAGAAATATTCCAGAAATTTTGGAAACTTCCCAGGATTTTTTTGGAATATGCCAGGGATTTTTTGAAAGTTTACGGACAATTACCGGAAATTTTCCACCCCTTTGCAACCCTAGTTACAACTGTCCCACAGTTGTGCCGTCATTTTCACCACACTAAACAATGGTTTTGCCCTTAATGATGATTTATCAAAAGCTAGTGTACTTGTTTATCAAGGAGGCAACAGAGTCAGTGAAGAGCATGCTTGAGACGAAAATTAGACAACATGACACACACAAAATAAAATAAAAAATCAATAAAAATCACTTGTGAGTAGAGAACCGTTATTTTAAATCAGTGCAGATTTCGTTGACAAATCATTTTCATCAACAGCATTCTTTCACAGATGAAAGCGAGATGAAATAACTCGTTGTGAAGGACAAAAACTATGACGAAAAATCTATTGACATTTTCGTCAACGAATAATGTCGAATTGTCCGTTTTGACGAGTATTCACGTAAACACACTCGATTACGTCTTAAGTGAATGTAAACAGTTTGGAGAATATCAGATGTGTATCAGTATAATTCACCCGTGCATTCGGCCTGAATGTGTCATTAATATTAATCAAGCAACAAAAGAAAGAGAGAAAATCACTCACTGCTCTTGACTGAATCACTTTAGTAGCCTTGATTAGGATTAATCTACATTTAATTTATATAAATAAATATGTCTGCTTGAAATAATGAAGCATGTTGTAAGCAAGTTGTTATAAAGACTGCATATTATATACAGTGGGTACGGAAAGTATTCAGACCCCCTTAAATTTTTCACTCTTTGTTATATTGCAGCCATTTGCTAAAATCATTCAAGTTAATTTTTTTTCCTCATTAATGTACACACAGCACCCCATATTGACAGAAAAACACAGAATTGTTGACATTTTTGCAGATTTATTAAAAAAGAAAAACTGAAATATCACATGGTCCCAAGTATTCAGACCCTTTGCTCAGTATTTAGTAGAAGCACCCTTTTGATCTAATACAGCCATGAGTCTTTTTGGGAAAGATGCAACAAGTTTTTCACACCTGGATTTGGGGATCCTGTGCCATTCCTCCTTGCAGATCCTCTCCAGTTCTGTCAGGTTGGATGGTAAACGTTGGTGGACAGCCATTTTTAGGTCTCTCCAGAGATGCTCAATTGGGTTTAAGTCAGGGCTCTGGCTGGGCCATTCAAGAACAGTCACAGAGTTGTTGTGAAGCCACTCCTTCATTATTTTAGCTGTGTGCTTAAGGTCATTGTCTTGTTGGAAGGTAAACCTTCGGCCCAGTCTGAGGTCCTAAGCACTCTGGAGAAGGTTTTCGTCTCATGATTCTCATTTGCTCTGACATGCACTGTGAGCTGTAAGGTCTTATATAGACAGGTGTGTGGCTTTCCTAATCAAGTCCAATCAGTATAATCAAACACAGCTGGACTCAAATGAAGGTGTAGAACCATCTCAAGGATGATCAGAAGAAATGGACAGCACCTGAGTTAAATATATGAGTGTCACAGCAAAGGGTCTGAATACTTAGGACCATGTGATATTTCAGTTTTTCTTTTTTAATAAATCTGCAAACATGTCAACAATTCTGTGTTTTTCTGTCAATATGGGGTGCTGTGTGTACATTAATGAGGAAAAAAAATTAACTTCAATGATTTTAGCAAATGGCTGCAATATAACAAAGAGTGAAAAATTTAAGGGGGTCTGAATACTTTCCGTACCCACTGTATAACCATTGGTATTTCATTGAAAAGAAGACCATGTTCTTGCTTCTTTATGAGAAGTGGTTTTATTTCATTTTAAGATATAAGACATGTTATGTGTCACAGCGGTTCGATCTGTATTGCATGATAAAACCTTTATATCATTCATATTAACAGGTCATTAGATGTTTTATTCAGGAATATATAATGAGTTTGGAAATGTTAGAGAAATTATTAATAAATGCATTACACCGTAACTAAACCCATTCGATTTTAGCCCACTGAATCTACTGTCGATTTTAGTTGACTAAAATCTTATGATATTTAACTAAAACTAGACTAAAACTAAAACGATTCAGATGACTACAATATGACTAAAACTAAATGGCATTTTCATCAAAAGACTATGACTAAAGCTAAATCAAAATTTGCTGTCAAAATTAACACGGTTTCAAATCAAGCTGCAGTTTTGTCAAGTTATGCAAAAACATTACATTTTGTGTATTTATTAGGATACATGCAATGCTAGCTGGGAAAGTGTTTTTTTTAATTTCATGTGTTTTAATCATTAACAAAAATCCAAATACATTTTCGTTTACATATATTTCAGTTGTTGACATATTTGTCATCGTTAATGTTGGAGATCATAGTTTTTATGCTATAGAGCGTTAAAGGTGCATTAGTGTAGGTTTATATTATTGCAGATTATGTGCCATGTTGACATGATTTTAGGGTCACATGATCGTGTTATTTTGTGGTCATATGACTTGTGTATTTTGATATGGCTCCTGATTTGGCATGGATTGTTTTAATGGACAAATGAAAAGAAAAACTAGTGAGAGTGTGAAAAAGAACACCTGTATGACTTACTTTATTCTGTAAACACAAAAGCAGATAGAAATGTCTCAGTGTTTTATGTTCATACAGTGGAAGTCAGTGGTTTCCAGTGTTCTTCAAAACATAGCCAGACCTTCTTTACTTACAGACATGACCTAGACACACAAGGACAGATTACATAAACCCGAAATTTCCACTCAAAATAATTGACTTGAGTGAATCACAGGAGGGAAAGATGACAGTTTTGAACACTCACTCAATAATGGAATTTTGTTTTCACCCCAAAAATCTTTTTAAATCTGTATAAACTGGGGTAAAATGTAACAGTATATTGGATCTGTGCAGCTCTTAAAGTGACAGCAGGCTAATATACCGGCTGCCGACTGTGTACTTAATATTAAACAAGCAACAAAAGACAAAGAGAAAATCACTCACTGCTCTTGACTGAAGCTCAGCAAGTTTAATTCTTACAGAGAGGCTATGCTGTTTTATATTCAATTAATTTTTTTACATTTTCAATATTAACTTATAAGAGTTTTTTTTATTTATATACCTGTATATATATTTTTACTTATATGAGTTACCCTGGTATTCTGCTATCAAAATCGGTATTGAAAATTGTGAAATTTCGCTAGTATCTACAATGTAAATAGCAACCTTATTTACAGAGAATATATATTTGATATATATCACTATCTTAGTTTTGGTCATATGGCCCACTCATAATCGTGTTAAGTAATTGTGATTACAATATTGACTAAAATAATGGCCATTATGATTTTTGCCATAATCGAGCAGCCCTACCATGAAAGGCGTCTGTCTGATGTGAGTCCCCATAATGCATAGCCGAATTCAGGTTTTACTGTCCTTGTGGGTACATTTGATCTCCACAACGCAGGTTAAATTTGTACATTTATAACACTATACTTTGTGCTATATTACCTTGGCATTAAATTACAGTATATAGTTAACGCTTCTGTGTGAGTGTTTCTAGCACAATGGCAGATTTGACATATTTCTCTTTTCTGACCAATGTATCAAACTCTCAATATTTGTTTTTCTCTTTTGTAAAGTCATAGAAATGCTATCATGGTTTTATCTTTTGCTAGTAGACCCCAAAAAATATATTTGTTGTAGTTTCCATTCAACACTATAGAAGTTTACCCAACTGATGACTTCTTGCCAAATTGCCTTTAGAATTTGTTTCTGCAACTTTCATGCAAAGTCCATGCAGATTTAGAGGTTCAGTCACCCTGATCTTTATTAAATCGTGCCGTTTCATTAATTGCACTAATTTTGGAGTTTGAATAATAATCTTTCTTTTGGCTGGTCAGCCCAACCCGGATGTTTAACTGCTGGGCTAACCACTACTTAAGGCTAATTTTGCTTTTCCAGTTTATATGTATTTCGGGTATTGTGTGTTTCTTGAAGGTCTCGCTCCCGTCACCGAAGGTCTCACAGTGGCAACAGAGATCGAGATCGTGGTCAGCGCCGAACCCGAGACAGAGACCGGACACGGGACAGAACTAAAGACAAAGAGACGGACAAAGCCAAAGATAAGGAAAAACAAAGGTAATACTTTCTTTTGTGCCACCTGAATTTCTAGTTTTCTTTTTTCTAGCACACGCACACACAGAAACATGCTCCCAAACTGTACTGACCCATCAATATACCTGTCTCATGTCTGTGTAGGAAATCTTATAGTTTGGAGAGTTTAGCTCAATCGTGTGGTAGGCCTCATCCATCCAGCCTGATATCTTCCCTTCAAACTCAGTGTATACACCGTCCCGCTGGGCGTCTAATGTGTTTGCCTCTCTCTCCCCGTCTTGATTTATGCCCCAGTGTAATATGCGTGAGCAAGAGCTAACTGCATTTCCATCCCCGCTCCTCTATTTTCTCCTCTCAAACCCCGCCTCGACTCTAGAGAGACAAAGCGTTCTCCAATGACAACAGTCAGCAAGACTGAGCTCACTGGGTAAACTAGCGTACAACACAGAAACACCAGTAATCATGCAGAATCTGTTCAAGATGTTGTTGATCTTTACAGAACTCTGACATTCTGGTGTTTGGACGGGTCTAGAAATGTTTCCAAATGAAGGTATACATCTGACTAAGTGACGGCAGTAATTATTACACGTGACATTCATAATTAGGTGTAATAATTTGTGGGGCCGCTTCCCTCATGATGCCTGTGAAGCTGCTGGTCATGAGCGTTTATTGGCTGTGAAGTAACCCACTAATGAGAACATGGTCACATGTCCATAAACGAGTTCTGGAGAGAAATGGACTGCTTGCACAACTATTTCCACATTCTACTTAATTACAGTGTTAATTTAATCTACATACAGACAGTTGCACATCATGAGAACACATTTTTATTACTACTGCATTTTAGGGCTGTCACTGTCAACCTGCTGAAATATTCCTATACATATATTTTCTTTACAAATGTGCGTTCTGAATAATAATTAAGGTCACACTTTAGTTTGAGGACCAATACTCACTGTTAACTATTAACTATGACTTTTGTCTCACTAAACTCCTAATTTGCTGCTTATTGCAAAACTAAATAAAATGAAAATGAATAGATAGCAATATGGTAACACTTTCTTTTAAGGACTAATATTAGCTAGTTGCTTATTAGCATGCATATTACTAGCATATTGGCTGTTTATTAGCACTTATAAAGCACATATTAATGTCTTGTTCTGCATGACCGTATTTTCGTCATTTAATCCACCACATACCTAAACTTACCAACTACCTTACTAGCTATGAATGAGCAGCACATTAGGAGTTTATTGAGGTAGTTAATAGTGAGAATTGGTCCTTAAGCCTAAAAAGGGCATAAACATAAAAAGACACACGAAAATCTTATTAGGACACAAATAATACAAATTCTTGATTTTTTTGACTTGACTTTTATTTGTGATTTTAATGTTTGGATTGTTTGGAGTATAAACTGATTGAAAACAATGCATGCTACAACATTTTTTAAAACATTATATTCTCTCATAACTTACAGTAAACATTTGTTGTAATATTGTGTTAAACCATAATTATAATGTCTATTTATGAATATATTAGCCTACAGTAATATATTTGATACACACATTTCTAGGGCCTTTAAATGATCAACATAAGCAAAACTTTGCTGATAATCCTGTTATACACAATCTGCTTCATGCCTTCTGCCCTGTGATTGATCGTTCATAATTTATCAAGTAAAGTGTTTTTGCTGTGAAATCTTTCATGATTTTTATAATGTGAGAGTAAGAATAACTTTTATATTGTTAGTAATAATTCAAGATGAACATGTACTGGGCTGAGGCAGCTGATTATGCATTTATAATTCTTTTAATGTTAAAAAATGTTTCATTTATTTGTTAAAAAGTAAATGTCAAATATGACACAACAGGCTTTTGAGGAAGGTTTATTTGTCTCTCTCGTAATACTTAATTGCAATGACTTGCATATATGAGCCATACAAATATGATGTATGAAATACAATACTAAACAAAAACACACGCACAAACTATATATATTTTGTACATTTGTATACATATTTGTACTTTTATACAAGTTTGCATATGTGTTTTTGTTGAGTATCTTATTTCATCAATACATATACGAGGGATGGGCATTTTTCAAAAATACTGCATTCGAATATTTGAGCTCATAAAAACATAATATTCATTAATTTAAATAGTTTAATGAAAAAGACGTTAAACAAACATGTTTGTCACCATTTCTGAACAAGTTTATCAGGCTATATTCACAACAAGCTTATACATCTTGTGTGTGTGTGTGTGTGTGTGTGTGTGTGTTTCCTTTGAAAACATTTAACAATGTGTGCAAAAAAAAAAGGCTATAAAGCATGTATATATACACTCGTACAAAAGATATGAGACACGAGCACAACGATCATACACATCCGTCTAGTACATCTTTGCATAGAAAAACAATGGAAAACTTGTGCATTGGAATGGAAAAGCGAGTTCAGTGGGAATGGCCCTGTCTGTTAACAATAAAGCCGGCCTCAGAGAAAACGAGTGCTCTTCTCAGCACACAACCTCTTTGGAAAATATTTGGGAACTGGGGACAGCTTTCCCACTAGTGAAGGTCCTGTCATCATTCACTCACTCTCACGATATCCAAACCTGTATGACTGACTGTAAGTTGCAGAGCTGCTTGCTGCTCGATTGCTCAGGTGATCTGGCGAAACTACTGGATGTTTCATTTTAATTGAATTATATAAAAGTGTTTCCAAATCTAACAAAGAGCTTGAGATGAATGAGTGTAAACAGTAAACACACAGCTGGGTCCCCAGACACTGGGCTGCTGTTCTTTCTGTGTGTTGTGTATTTAGTTTCTCTGCAGCTTATGTGTCCTAAGGGAGTCAATAGATGTAATTGTGGGTGTAATTAGGGGATGTGGCTGGGATGACATTAACATAATGGAGGGACAAACACAAATGAGCAAACACAGGGGCCGTTATCTTAAACACTTTAGACCCTTGGGAGCCGCTGCCTTAATCTGAGCTTCAGTCTCCAGTAACTCCATTCACACTGATGTGTTTGTTCACTTACACACTTCCCTGTACACCATCACAACCGCCTCTACTTATGACTAATGTCAAAGTTGGTTTATTTCATGACATCTGGAGGAAACAGAGATTTGAAACAGTGATAGGATGGTGTTGAAGCAGTCTGTGTTCTGTATATGCAAGCATATGCAACTTGACGCAGGTGGAAACCGGTAAGCAGTGAAGTTAGAGAGTTAACATGCACTCATTTGAGCTCATCGAAGACCAAAGGTGCCGAACTCAATACTATATATTAGGGCTGTCATCATTAACGCGTAATTAATAATTAATAATTTAACACAATTAACGCAAAATTACTGAAGCACAATTTATATTTTATAAATATAATATTTTTTGCTTCTCTGTTTGCGATTAGATCATTTTAAGCCGCTAAACTCCGGGAAAGTTTTCAGTCCAATGATCCAGTAAGCGAATGCGTTCAAACAATCTGTCCAAAACAGCGCTAATATAAAGGAAACCAGGCTGATTACATCAGAGATTGCAGAGAGAACAGAGACTTGCGTTGCGTTTTAAGTAAATTATTAATTCCAGGGTGTTTCGCTTTAAAACACGAGCTCTGTCATATTCTGGGATTGTCTCTGAAGAGAGCGAGCCCTCACATGTCGCAGACTGAACGGATTGTCAACACATCCCACCGCTGTATGGCCAGATGAGACGCAAACTACGGTTTCTTGACTGGATAACCAGTCTCGCTAGTAAAGTTTTGATGGATGAAGTCTGCAATCAAGGTAAAGACGGTTGCGGTGGCATACAGTAAGCACAGTAAGAGTACGTACAGTAAGCATGCATGAGTCTGTTATATTAATGACTCACTGATCACACATTGTATTTATGCACAGGCACAGAAATTTCTGTACATTCACGTTATTTCCACACACATTCACGATAATGTTTTGATTTGTCATGTTTATGTTGCTGTGTTTAGTTATTCTGAATGGATCCGTGTGTACTGTAGTAGATATATGCAGTCAGCGGGCGATTGGTTTAGGTTTTTTTTGGCATCTCCATGTGGTCCTTTTTGGTATCGCAACTTGGCTTCTCTAAAATATAAAAAAAGATCTTTGCTGTTGCACTGTAAACATACTATAAAATTCTGATTTTCTTTTCGTTCATATGTGCTTATATGGGCTCCTTATATCATTTGGTTCTTTGGTTTCCTTTTGGAGTTTCTATATGTCCTTTTTTGGAAAGACATCTAAATTTATCTTGAAAAAAAATATTGCAGAAAATATAGATTTTTGAGAATCACCCTTCAATCGTTTGGTTTACTTTGCTGGATATAGCAAATGATGACAAAATAAACATTTGAAAAAAGATAAATGGTCTATGCTTAATTTCATGACGTGTGCGATTAATTGCGATTAATCACAGAAAAAGGATGTGTTGAATTAGATTAAAAATGTTAATCGATTGACAGCCCTACTATATCTATATATATATATACACACACAACAGTTCTTCCCTTCTCAACAGTTCTTTCTCATAGTTTTAAGAGTTTTTAGGTGAATAGTTCATACTTCATAACTGCATTCTTCAAATATGCAGTTTGCTAATAAAGATTATTATTTGAACATTTGCTTTGATGTTTTGGAAGATGTGAGCTCCGTGTCAGCGGCAGTTCAGCGCTCATGAACCCACCGAGAGCAGCCTCACCTCGGCCAGATCTTCTGGAATTTGCCGCTGGCTCTGATGTCTCTATAGTGGTTAAACAGGAGATATAATGCGTTTTGGGTAATTCTAACGGGCAGTCTTTGTCTCATTAATCTATTATTTGTTCCAGAGCAAATAGTTTTGGCTGAGGGCAAAGTCTCATAACGTTATATTTTATGTAACTTTTATGCTGTATATCAGAGCACTGCCTTTGTACTTTTGACTGAATTGTCTAGCAACTTTTATGGCGGCTGTTGTTGTTGCTTATTACATATTATTATTCAATAAATAATATTTTATATAAATAATAGTAGTA